AATACCTGGGTTGAAGGCGATGAAACCCTGTCAATTCTCTGAATCAAGTGAGAGGTCAAGTTGCCTCCTCGCTTTAAGAAAGCTTCTGTTGACACACTGCTAAGAGAGAAAATCAAAGTGCTCTTGTATCTCCAGTCTACTAACTTTTGTGTGAGACAAAAGAAATATATTTGCCACTGCTCATTAGGTTCATGGCACACAGGAAGGATAGAGAAGAAATCAGTGAGGATGGGTGGGGGCAGGGTGGAAACGACGGAGGGATGGCAACAGGAGATGGGGGGGTGATACTTCTCTGAGTATATATATTTTTAATAGTTTGGGCTTTTATTGCCATGTTATGTTTTACATTCTCAAAATAAATAAAGCCAATAAGACTGAGGGGTAGGGGAGAGGCGATCTCTGTCACTCCTTTAGGAAAACCAAAAATTGTTTCCATCATCATGGTGATGGGAATCGTCAGTAAAGAAAGGACATAAATAAAGGGCATAGTTTTTTAAAATAAATTTATTTATTTATATTTATTTATTATTTTTGGCTGTGTTGGGTCTTCATTGCTGTGTGCAGGCTTTCTCTAGTTGCGGCGAGCAGGGGCTATTCTTCATTGCGGTGAGCGGGCTTCTCTTGCTGTGGAGCACAGGCTCTAGAGCGCGCGGGCTTCAGTAGATGCAGCACATGGGCTCAGTAGTTGTGGCTCGCGGGCTCTAGAGCGCAGGCTCAGTAGTTGTGGTACACAGACTTAGTTGCTGCGCGGCATGCGGGATCTTCCCAGAGCAGGGATGGAACCCGTGTCCCCTGCATTGGCAGGCGGATTCTTAACCACTGCGCCACCAGGGAAGTCCCAAGTCTTTCTAACTTTGAAAGGAAACTGCTATAAACTTGGAAATTGAAATCTACACAATCTAGAGTTCTATAGTTTCCACATGGCTGGAGCTCTTTGAGAACAGAATAGTGTCCATATGATCCCAATGAAGGTCTTGACAAGAGTGATGCTGTGGACTGAATGTTTGTGTACCCCCCTCTCCCCTCAAAATTCATACATTGAAACTCAATTCCCAATGTGACGGTATTAGGTGGTGAGGCCTTTGGGTGGTGATAAGGTCATGAGGTTGGGGCCTTCATGAATGGCATTAGTGGTCTTACAAAAGAGACCCCAGAGAATTCCCTTGCCCTTTCTGCCACGTGACGATACAGTGAAAATATGGCCATCTATGGACTAGGGAGTGTGGTATTACCAGAACTGAATCTGCTGGCACCTTGATCTTGGACTTACCAGCTTCTAGAGCTATGAGAGATAAATTTCTGTTGTCATAAGCCACCCTTTATGGCATTTTGTTATAACAGCCCTACTGGACTAAGACAAAAGAATACCTTTTTGGGAGTTGTGGGAAGTCCTCAGGGCTGGATCCAGGCAAGTGATAAAACAGGTGGTTTGTCTCTGAATCTTGTCTTCTCATTTCCTGCCTTCTCTTCCACCCTTAGATGAAGAGTTCAGTTGCCATGCTCAGTTCCCTTAGCCTGTCTCCATGCCTGATTAGCTCTGATAGGGCATCAAGTCAGGAGCCTGAAGAATGACCTTTAGGTCTTAATACCATACATAAATGTTTTGGTAGTCTAACCACATCTGGTGTTCAGGACAGTGTTTTTGTAGGAAATAGCTGTAATCACTTCTGGTAAAAGATCTGGAAAGATTTGAATCCAGCATTCAGAATATGTGGTAAGTGTACATGTTCAAGTCTTACTGGGATAGCCCAATACCAAGTTGGCTTGCTGGCGTGCAGAAAAACCCCAAGTAAACTTGACTTTGCTTCCGCCACTCCAGAAAGTTGGGATGGATGTAGTCAAGTCCCAGGAGGAAACGTGCAGATCAGAGAAGACTGAATACCCAGGATCCAGTAAGGTTCCAAACTGACCATGGAAGTTCTGGCCCATCCCCGGTTCCCCCTCAATCAATGATATTGTGTTCGGGTTAATTTGGACTCCTTTCCTTAAGACGACCTCCTTTCCAGGGCACAGGTTCTCCAAAGACATCTCTTGCCTGGAGTAGGTTTCCTTGACTGTCATTAACCACATACTTAGCATTGGAAAAGAGAAGGAAAGAGTAATTTGTCAAGACTTTTGTCCCATCGAACTTACCCTAGATGTTTTATTCTTGCCTTTTATTTTTAGCAATGACAGCAGTTGGTTTAAGTTTTGGTTCCTAATAAATCAATTCCATTTACCTCACCCTCTATTAAATATGCCAAGCAGATTTTACGTTATAAATCTACTATTTTAATGAGATTTAATGAGCTTATCCTTAGATCTTCAAAGATTTATAGACATTCATCAGAGTGGGAAAGGGCTGCTTCCTTTATTGGCTGTATATTTAAAGAACACATTTCAGAGAAGTCATTAAAGTAACGTGTGTCTTCCCTCTTCAAAATCTTCATAACTGCTTTGTGTACATGTGTGCATCACAAAAGAGCTTTTTCCAGCCCCAAGCCTTTGAAAACCAGGACGTGTCACACAGTGATAACTACAGCTCCCCAGAGCCCTGTCTTTTTAGATCTGAGCCATGTGTTTTGATAAATAAATCATCTCTGAAGTGCTTATCTTGCTTCTGGCAAGGATATAATAATTTAGATGCCTGCTTCGTAACGCCTGCAGGAAAGAGAACGATTCCACATCTTGGCATGAGAAAGGGAAAGGCCCGTTAACAACCCAAATTACAATGTGGAAAGGGTATGGGGGCGACTTGACTCAGAGTTGGAGGGAAAAAAACCTGGAGATTTAAATACCAGTAGTTGGGTCTAAAGCCAAGAAAAAAAGGAGATGAACTCACAGATAACAGAACTATGAAATAGCCGGATGTTACAGGACTGTCATCATATAAAGGTCCCTGCTTATTTCTGAACCTCAGTCCGTGGAAGAAACTTTTGTTACTGGACTTAATCCATTCGGGGCTTGAACCTTCTGTGAGGTAAAGCCATGCATCCCAGGTGTATTTTGGGGTAACAAAAAAACAGTTATATCGAGCCCCTGAATTTTGTGTGAATGAAGCTGTTTGCCAAAGCTAATATTTGTAGCCACGTGACTTACCGTTCACGGAAGAGATGGACCAATGGGGATGAGTGGGTGGCCAGTGCCCTGCAGAACCACCTTGATGAAACGAGGCCTGAACACTCCACACTTGGATTTCACCAACAGTGGATAGAAGAAATTGCCCTATCTAGAAAAATGTTATTTTGTTTATGTGCTATTGGGAACATTATTCGATGCCTTCAAACAAGGAAATCCTTGGCAAAGTCCCTTCAAAACCAAGCACCGGGAAAAGCTTTGCTCCTCCCGATGAACAGTTTCCTAAAATTACACGAATTCTGCAACCGGTTGTTTTCTACTTTTCTAGGTTGGTGGACAGCTCAGAAGTAAGTTTTATGTTTGATCGCTATCATTCCTCTCAATTAGAATGTATTGCTATAGTTCCTTTTCTTTCCACCTTAATTTTGGGTTCATTTTGGTTCCTAAAACCTTTTCTACCATCTCAGTTTTTTTTTTTTTCCTGAAGTGGGTGGCATATAAAAAAGGTGCAATTAATTCAGAGGTTTAAAATGTGCCTCTTGAGACGTTTATTTCCAAATAGCGCCTTATTCCCCGGCAGAATATTTGTTTCCTCCCTCTCCATTGTTTATTTATTTGAAGTAAGAAAGAACAAGAAAGCAAGGCAGAGGGTTTGCCTGGAAAATTCCCAGGAAGAAACAACGGACAAACTAATACCCCCTGAAACAGGCAGGTCCTATGGAGAATTATGATTTCCATGTTCAAAACTCTTTCTCTTGTACAAACATAGTTGGAAGCTGGTTTTAGCCACTTCTCCCCTCAATGCTCAAGCAAGAGGTGAAATGACAAATGTGCCCCGAAGCCCCAGGTTTCACCTCAGATGCTTGGAAGTATAGGTGTGTTTACCTGGAGTCCCAGGATGGAAGGCTTATAAAAGGAGTGAAATTAATATGCAGAAGGTGACCTGGGAGATTTCCCCATCCTGGTTGCTAGCCACATTCCTAGATTTCTAGGACACTCATTAAGATCTTTGCATTCGTTTTAAAGTTGTCCATAGTTATTAACAAGGTTTGAGAAATTAGTTCACAAGTTGGAAGATCACTCTTTAGGTAGAAATACAAGGGCCTCGGGCTGTTTCTCTTCAAATGGGTATTTAGTGACTTCTTGTGAGTCTAGTTTTGAGGAGGAAAGATCTGCTGCTTCCTAACTTTCTTTGAGTATTTTGAAAGTATTCTGAATGAGTTTTTGAAAATGGAAACCCAAAGGAGCTTAGAACAGCAGGGGGACCAGCGGTGTGAAAGTGGGAACACAGGAGTTCGATTCTTGCCCTGCCCTTATCTAGGACAGCAGTGACAGTGGGCTGTTCTCCACCTAGCCCTCCATCCATCCTTCTCAACCCTGCCCAGGGAGGCCAATCCTGCAGACTGTATCACCCAGGTGCCCTTGCTGTCTGGCATGTCACTGGTCTTGGCCTAGGGATGACAGGTGGGAAACAGGTTGAGTGAATCCTCCCCATTCCTGCCCTTGCTTTTGCCTCATCACCCTTTGCTTTTCTCTTAACCCTGCCCACAACCCTCTAAGTGGTCCCCTGTCAGGGTCTTGTCATTTGAACCATCTGGGGTGGCTTCTGCTTTGAGCCAGGCTTCTGATACAAATGACAACCAGCTTTAGCAAACTGGAAATGGATTTCAAGCAGTGGGATTAAATTCTGAAATTCTGGGATCACACCAGCTGTGTCTGAATTCTTCCTAAGAGACTTGTTAGGTGGGGAGAGAAGCAGGGAAGATTAACTGGTCTCCGCATGCCTGGGGCCCTTGCGGCCTTTTGCTCTATCTTACGAGAAGTGTAAGATAGAGGACAGTTCAGGTGGTCTTGAAGTCACTGCTTCAGGGGCTTAAAAACAATTTTACCCGCCAAAGGTATTAACGCACTTGGGCACTTGAGGATAAAAGAGCTGTCTTTACTCATGAGTCAACCGAAAATTTTAATTAAAAATGGAGAGTTTTTTGGTTTTTTTTTAAATAGCCACTTGACAAGAGGGTAAAGAGAGCCCATAATGGGGTAGTGAGACCAGAGTCCAGGCTTCACTCTGCTGGCCACACTGTCCTCAGGACCTTGCAATAAGCTAGAAATGTACACAATTGTAGGCGAAAATTTCAAGGCTAGGGGAGGAGAGGAGGCCAGACCAGGGTGGGCAGTGACATCCTCAGTCTTTTGTATTTATATCTTACACACACACACACACACACACATATATATAACATCCAAGTACAACAGTCATTTGTACCATTTCCCAGGAGACACAGATGTTTCCAAGGCAAGGCAGGGCGGGGCTGGGGGCAGCACGTGGGACGGGGGCTGCCTCACAGAAGCTGCAGGAGCTTCAGCGATTGTAAGAGAGCTCCGGGCTCCGCCGACGCCAGATACTGGCAGCACAGCCAGTCCTCCAGCTCCACCCCGCGCCGGCGGTCCACCGCCTTCTCGGCGAACTTCATCATCATCAGGGCCCGCTTCATGTCGATCCAGTTGCTGAGCGTGGCGCACAGCGCCTCCTCGGAGGTGCCCGGCTGCTCCACCAGCTCCCGCCGGGGTCCCCACAGAAGGCACTGCAGCACGCGCTTGGCCTCGCCGATGCGGATGCGCTTGATGGGGTCGGCCTGCAGCAGCAGGTGCGCGAGCCGCTGCAGGCCCGGCGAGTAGAGGGACAGCGCGGGCAGTGGGGGCAGGTCCTCCTGCCCGTAGTCCTGCTCCCGCAGCTGCGCCCGCACCTCGAACGGGTTGGGCTGGTGGAGGAGCTCGTAAATGAGGATGCCCGTTTGGAACTCGTCGAACTTGCGGTACTGGGAGGCAGACACAATCTCTGGTGCCAGGCGGGCCTGGCTCTTTTTCTGCTGCAGGTTGGCGGACCCGCCCGGCTTCTGCTTGGCCTTCAGGAAGTTGCTTATGATGAGTCGGGGCAAGTGCTTCTCGCCGGGCCCTCCCTGACAGGCGGGGCCCGCCGGAGGGGTGGGCGTGACGCCGGCCGAGGGGCAAGAGGAAGGGGTAGCGGCAGGGGCGGGGGGTAAGGTGGTGGGAGGGGCCCAGGAGGTGGCGGAGGAGGGGTCCGGGGAGGCCTGCGGGGCGCAGTGCACCAGCAGCAGGTTCTCCAGGCATAGGTCCCGGTGGATGATGCCGTGCTCCTTCAGGTGCTCCAGCCCGTTGCAGAGCTGCAGAAGCAGGAAGCACACGCGCCGCTCGTAAACCTCGGGCTCAGACTGGTGGCTGGTGGCTGAGTCTTGCACAAAGTCCGAGGCGGTCTGGTGGGGTACCTCTCGGGTGATGACCACCACGCAGTCCTGCTCCTGGGCGGGGGGATGTGAAGGCAGGGCAGACAGGGGGTCCTTGGGCGCATCGGGAGAGGTAAGCATGCTGGAGGGCACCGAGGCGACAAAGTGGCCGCAGTCCTGCTGGATGTTGAAGTGCACGGGCACGGAAGGGCTGCAGTACGAGGCTGCTTTGGGCTCAGGGGTTTTGCAGATCTGTGGGGGAAAGGGGCAGTGAGGTCAAAGGGCCAGAGCCATCATTCGGTTCAGCAACTGGGGTTGGGACGTTTGGATATCCACATGCAAAACGGTGAACTTACACCCGTATCTCACACCGTACACACAATTAACTCAAAATGGATCCCAGAGCCCTAGATCGAAATGGAGAGACTTAGATGTGAGAGCCAAAACATATGCACTTTTGAAGAAAACACAGGACAGAATCTTTGAGACCTCAGGTTGAGCAAGGGTTTCTCAGATACCACACCAAAAGCATGGTCCATAGGAGAAAAAAATGGACAAACTTGACCTTACTGAAACTCAAAACTTGTATGCTTCAAAAGATACTAAGAAAATGCAAAGACAAGTAATAGAGTGGGAGGAAATATTTGCAAAACACATATCCAGTAAAATGATTTCTATCCAGAATTTACCAAAAATTCTTGCAACGCAGTAATAAGATAAATTACCCAATCAAAAAGTGGGCCAGGGGCTTCCCTGGTGGCGCAGTGGTTGAGAGTCCGCCTGCCGATGCAGGGGACACGGGCTCGTGCCCCGGTCCGGGAAGATCCCACATGCTGCGGCTAGGCCCGTGAGCCATGGCCGCTGAGCCTGCGCGTCCAGAGCCTGTGCTCCACAACGGGAGAGGTCACAATAGTGAGGGGCCCGCATACCAAAAAAAAAAAAAAAAAAAAAAAAAGTGGCCAAAAGATGCATTTCACCAAATAAATATATAATTGGCCATAAACACATGAAAAGATGTTCAACATCATGAATCATAAGGGAAATGCAAGTCAAAACCACAATGAGAGACCAGGTGAGGCCCACCAGAACGGCTATAATAAAATGATAACAGCAAGTGTCTATGAGGATGTGGAGAAATGGGAACTCTCATTTATAGCTGGTGGAATGTCAAATGGTACTACCACTTTGGAATACAGTTTCGCAATTTCTTAACAAGTTAAACCTAAAATTATCACACAACCCAGCAAGAGTGAGTTCCCTTGGTAGGAAGACGTCCCCATGCCCAGAGCGTAGGCTGGACAAATTCTCAGGAAGCCAGATAAGAGCTTACACAGGCAGTCAGCCTCACTCCTCAGCCCTCGCACCTGAATTGGCAGCTACCTTATAATAGATGTGTTCGACCCCTGGGGTGTTCCCTTCTTGGGGAATCTCGGGGGCAGATGCAGGCCCTAAACCTCTAGGACTTGGTCAAATTCTCTTAGGCTGCCCTAGTTTCTAGATCCAGGTACATATGCCATGCCTACCAGCTGGCACAACCTGTGGGGCTGATTTCAGTGGAGCCGCTAAGTGGAAGCCACGAGCTTTTCCTCCAAGGGTGAGTCAGAGCAGCTGAAAGAAAACAGAAAGCTCTCCAGAGAATAGGGAACCCAGAGGGCCCAACGGCACCCTCTGAACCAGAGGTGGGAATAAACAGACGGATGATCTCAAGCTCCTTTGGGGAATTCCCAGTGTCTTTCCCACCTCTTCTACATCTTCTTGTACTAACGACAGCGACTGCCAACTAAGGATCCTGAGCAACAGGAACCCTCATCTGGTGGCCACACAACTGAAGAGTCTTGAGCCAGACACAATGGCCCCCTGTCAGGCCTCAATTTCCCTCTAATTACACTGAAAGGGACAGTATATGGTCTGTGGGTGCCCCTCTCAAAAGGAGATGATGCAACCCCAGCCGTACTTTGTAGAAAGGTAGGGATCAGTGCGTAATCCTTAGAAGAAAGGCATTTCGCCTCCATCTATAAAATATCATCCTGCAAACAATCCAAAAATAACCCTTCGGGGTGCTGCACTCCGATGAGTACAGCAGTGTTTATGGAGCACCACAATGCTTACAGGTGACGTTTTTAGAAGTTCTGCTGCAAGTACCTTTTCAAAGAGATTTATTTATATTGCAGTTCTACAAAGCTCAGCATAAAACCTGGCATAAAAGAGCTCCGCTTCCGAGCAAACTTTTTAAAAGATAATTGGAGGGCTTGGGGGAGAGAACACATTAATTTATTGATCCCTCTATTAGAAAGGTAGAATAGAAATAAAAGGGAAGTACATTTTATCCCAGACAGTGCTTCCTATTACTAACAAAAGTGATTTCAGAATGCATGCCTAAAAGGCACTGCTGCAGGCTCTTTCTTATCCAAGCACACCCAGCTATATTCAGTTTTTATTTTTGGCTGTGTTGGGTCCCCATTGCTGCACATGGGCTCTCTCTAGTTGAGGCAAGCAGGGGTTACTCTTCGTTGCGGTGCGCGGGCCTCTCATCGTTGTGGCCTCTCTTGTTGCAGAGCACAGGCTCCAGAGCGCAGGCTCGGTAGTTGTGGTGCGCGGGCTTAGCTGCTCCGTGGCATGTGGGATCTTCCCAGGCCAGGGATCGAACCCGTGTCCCCTGCCCTGGCAGGCGGATTCTTAACCACTGCGCCACCGGGGAAGCCCTGTGTTCAGTTTTTAAATGGCAGTCTTCTGGAACACTATTACACTAAAGGAAATTTGGGAGGGGTCCTCAAAAAACAGTCTTGCATATAAATACCAACCCCTGTGTATGGACCTGTCTGCTGTGCCATCCATGGATACTAATGTCATCCCCTCCAGTGAGGGCTTCTCAACTACAACATATACCTACCGAACTCCTGCACCATGCCTACCAAGCATTTTGTCATGTAGTGTCTCGTTAAATCTCATTGAACAACTCAATGAGGTAGATGCTACTACAGAGGAGGAAACTGAGACTTCAAGAGGTTAAATTATTTGCCCTAGATTATACAGCTAAGAAGTGTTCTGGAGGTGAAAAGTATGGGCTTTGGAGTGAAAAGGACCTTAGTTTAAATATAAACTCTGCAAACATTGGCAACTTTCCCTTGATTCTTGTTATTTGTGGTCGTTATGTTCTATTACGTAGCCACAAACACTGAATGCATGAATGCTGAACCACTGCTCCTTGGGAAACACAATGTGAAGTTCCTGCAAGCCTCTGGTCACAAGGTGTTCACCAACTTATCAATATGTAACCTTGTTGTATACTGTGTGTGTTTCTGTTTAAAGATGCCTTATTCATAGATACTGCTGATGCACTAACACTGACTCACGGCCAACAGCAGTGTAACTCATGCCTGAACTAAGCTGATCTAACACCCTCTCAAAGGTGCATCACAGCCTTCCTGACCTTAGGAACACGAGACAGGACTTCAGCGCTCAGCGTGGCCATTTTAAAGAGCGAAATCGCCAACGAAAAGCACAAAAGTGTGACGATGAGGCATTAAATAGACACAAAAAGTACACCTGTGTACAGTATGACAGCTGAAACAAGAAGGCGGAGGGTCCCTTTGTACCACCTCAGCTGAAGATTTGCAAGTCAGATGACCCGGATTTCCGCCCCCGCCCACTGTGTGCCAGTTCAGTAATGAACCCCAAAGCCCTCCAAGTATTGATGTGGGGTTACGAGTAAGTTTCAGCATCGAATTCACAAACGCAGGATCCACGAATACTGAAGATCAATGGTATTTATCCCCAAGTGTGTTTCTCCTCTGTATCTCAGGGGCAGTGTCCCTCTTCACAGGGCCACTGGGAGCATTAAAGGACACAACACAGGTGTGGCTTTCAACACAATGCCCAGGCGAGCACCCACCGGGAGAGGTTGCTATGGTGACTGCCCTTGCGGGTCCGGCTGTAGCCATGTGGTGGTGCTGGGCAATTCCAGAGCTGGCTGGCTGTACAAACCCAGAGGGTTCAGCTGCCGGGGCCTGGGCTGTGTTTCCAAGGATCCCCTTTCTCCAGGGTATCAAAGGCCTGGGCCCGGCAAACACTCTCCTTGGGAGCTCCAGGCACTTCGCACAGAGGTGTAAATGAAAGAGGAGAGTAAATGACAAGTGGCCTGGATGCATTTCAGGATCAGTGAGCTGGTCCCTCTGGCAAGACCTGCAGCTTCCTCACTGCCTCGAACAAAAGACAGAGCGCAAGAGCAGCCCTGGGCCGCCGCCAAGATCATTCTACGGTGTCAAATTAGAGGTGAGGGGAGAGGAGGGGGCGGAGGGAGGGGGCGGCTTCTTTTCCACCCCATCTCCCCTCACCGCCCCCCAAGTTCATTTTCAGGGAGTCTGTGCTTGGGTTCTGGCTCAAGACCTTCACATAGACCTTTGGTTCAGCTCAAATTTCAAACGTTTCACTGAGCCAAGTCTCACTTTAAACTTTAGTGCCACGGCCTGATTCGTGGTTGAAAATCTGGGCTAAGTCACGTCTGTTAAATAAAAAAGGCCCAGCCCGCTTAGCGCAGGTCCCTAATTACCGGAGTTCTGGCTGACTGAGGCATGAAACAGCTTCGAAAGCACACACAACTAAGGCATTTTTTTCCCTCCTCATACTCGTGGAGCTGGGCTACATGAGCTGGCTTCACCTCCTCGCGGCTACAGGGTGCCAAGCCCACAAACGGAGGGACCAGCGTCAGCCTGAGCAGGTGCGAGCCTGCAACTGAAGCTCCTGCTTCCCAGGCACGGATGAAATGAGCTCAGCCACAGCCAGGCGGTGTGGGAAGGAGCCCCGCTCCCCACTCCTGGGGATTCAGCCGATTCAGATGACTGTATTCCATCTAGGATCAGCACTAATGAAGTGCAACAGCAGTGTGGAAGGATGCTCCGTGCCCCGCCCCCCTCCCCTCCCCCCAAGGCCAGGCCCATTTGCAAATTGATATTGTTGTTCCCCAGACTCTGAATACTGGAAGCTCTTCTCCAGATTTTCTTTTCATACATTACAGAGATAGTCCCTGAGCTGCCAAGGCTCCAGCAAAATCAAAGAGGAGACCCCGGGGACTCTCTTCCTTAAGAGGACCAAGGTCTATCGCTGGCTTCCTTATGGTTTAGATTTCGAATGCAATGAACGATGCTGCCTTTTAACATCCTCTGGAAATGCTGAAATTTCTGCACTGTTCTTCGGAGAACTGGCTAATTCTACATTGTTACAGGAGGTCCTAGAATCCAAGTTGCACATCACCATCATGGATATAAAAAACAAACCCCTTTGCCCAGAGGTTCTGATCCAGCGGCAGATCTTGCACCACGTGGCCCCCTGGGCCATATCACTTTCTACCCCATGGGCAAGAGGGATTAAGCCTGTCCCACCAGGCTCTTTCCTCCTCAAAATGGAGAAGTCAGCTGTCTCTTGGCAGTGAAGGAGCTGCCCAGGTCCAGCCCAAGGAGGCGGGGGAGAGTAACACATGCACTTGAACACAGGAAATGTTCAGGGTGGAAGCAGAGACATTATTCACAAATCCCTTTCTCAGGTCCACTAGGTTGGCAGAAGCAAAGAACTTCCTAAAGGCACCTCCATCCCCTTGACTTTCAAGGAGCTCAAACTTACATCCCTTTCATTGCATGGATACAGGCCCCTGGCTCTGGGCCACCAGCGATGACCAGGCTGACCATGTCCAGCTCTCTGGAGGGTCTACTCACTCTTTCTTTACTGGATATAGCACCCGGCTAATAGGAAGGGAAACGCTGGGGTTGTTTCTTTTTCTTTTAATTGTGATTGGGGGGGTGACCAGGTAGGGTAGCTCAACAAGAGAGTAGCTGCCGAGTTCAGATATAAAGAGGCAATGAAGTTCAAAAATCTATCTAGTCTTTTGGGGCCTTGATTTCTGACAATGAACTGGATCCTCCTAATAGCTACCTTCCTGCCTAGTTTTTTTGCAAGAAGGCAGCGAGTAATTATACAGAGCCCCTTGAACAAATAAATCAGGGGTTCCCAATCTATATTTTATGGTGGTGTCACCAATTTTTTAAAAGAAAAATCTCACAGTAAAATTCACTGCAATTTTCCTTGGCTAATAATCATAGTATTAAAAAAAATCTTACTGGTAAGAAGGAAGCCACCCCGCCAAGACCGTTTCACGTTAGTTCACTGTTTGCATTTTTTCTAATTAGAAATAAAAGAATGTCTTGGGGCAGGTGATGGCAGAAAAGAGTTCAGGGTTCCCTTCTCACTCCTCACAAAAGCCTGCATTTATAGAAGGACCACAGACCACCAGGTACTCAAGGGACACCAAAAGAAGATGAGAAAAGGGGCCACCAGAGGGGCCAGATGGATACAGACAGCTCCACCAGCTTCCTCAGAGCTGTGCCCCAAAAGAGCAATGGGGCGTGCTAGCAACAGCCCTGATCCAGGGCCAACGATTAAACAGCTGTGTTACTTTGGGCTAGTCACTTAACTTCTCTGAGCTTCATTTTTCTTAACTGAAAGGGTGGTAGCATAGGCTTTGAGACAAGACAAAGAAGACTTCAGATCCATCTTAGCCACCTGCCAGCTGTGGGCAGATTACTTAATCATTTTGAGCCTCAGATTTCCCACCTGTAACACCTACCTGCCCTGTGAGGATTTGAGGTCGTGTAGTTAACACGCCCATCCAAGAGTCTAGTTGTGTACTGACTGCTCTATCAATAATATTACTGTTGTGGTTCAAGATGATGTTTGGGTCTAACTCTCCTTCCGGCTCTATTTTAAGCACTATATCTTAATTGCCTATCTCCCGTATTAGATTATAAGCTCCATAGGAACCATATGTTCACCTCTATATACTCAGATCTTTACAAAATACCTGGCTCATAGTAGGCATTCAATAGAAACCTGCTGAATAAATGAATGAGTTCTCCATTACATTAACAGGCAACTGTCTTAATCCAACTCGATCATGCAGGCTCGTTCCTGAAAGCACAGAATGAACCTTCTATTCACTGTACAAATCACATTGCACCGCGTCCTGGACCAGGCAGAGTGAGATCGCCGAGCAGATTTTGGAAACTACCCTCCTTCGGGAGCTGGCTGAGGGGAAATGACTTCCCCAGCCATAGCGCTGCCCCCCCAGCCAGGACCGGCTGGCGGCACTGTGGAATGGGAGGAGGGGTTGGTACCTACTTTCACAGCGTAGGTGCTGCTGGGGTCCTCGGAGCAGGTGGCACAGTAATAAATGGCATCCCCCGAATCGCAGCAGGGCTTGTTACAGGCCAGCTTGAACAGGGACCAGTTATTCTCGCTGAAGTGCAGCCCCTTTTTCTGGCCGCCCATGAAGAGGTCCTCACACCTGGCCACGAGGCGGACCAAGGACTGGGCGTAGAGCCCTCCCAGCTTGGTGTAGGTGCCCTCCTTGCTGCTGATGCTGCTCAGGAGGCTGTGGAGCTGCAGCTGGGCGCTGCCCGCCGAGGCCTGGCTGGACACGCTCAGCTGGGAGGCCGCGGCCGAGGAGACCCCTTTGCCCTGCAGGCTCTGGCTGCCCGCCAGTCCTGGCGCTGGGCCCCAGGGGCCATTGTCTTTGAACGTTTTCTCCAGAGGCTCGGAAGCAGAGAAGATGTGCTGGTGGCGGCTGCCGGGGCCTGAGGAGTAGCTGAAGTGGGACTCGTCATGGACACAGACGTTGGTTTCTGAGTGGCTGAGGTTCAGCTTGGGACCTGCTGTTCTTGGCTTGGGGGAGCCTTGGGTCCAGAAGAAGCCATCCGGAGAAGAGGCCGCCCGGCTCACTAGCTTCTTCTGGGGGAGAGGTGGGGGCTGCAGGGGGCCACCGGGGCACACATCCTCAGTGGAGCCCGAAGGGAAGGGAACAGGGCTGAAGAGCTCCTTCCCGCTGCTGGTGGGCGAGTGAGTCAGCTCAGATGATGGACCTGAAAAAGAGAAACAGAAACCATCAGACCGGGGGCCCAGGCCACTCAGTTCCAGGGTCCCGTGGGCCTTTTTTTTTCTTTCCATCAAAGCAATGTATTTTATTTTGTTTTTATCTATTTCTTGAAGAGACAACATATGCACAATGAACACGACTCAAAATGCAAAAAAGGTGTACAATGCCAATGAAGTCTTCCTCCTACCCTGTTCCTTAGCGCCCAGTCCCTCTCTTCGGAGGAAACATGGCGGGCAATTTCCCACACATCCTCCTGGAGATCTGCCAAACAACCCAAACACACACACACACACACACACACACACATTTACACAAAGGAGAGCAAACGGTGCCCACTGATTGCAGTATTCCTTTTCTTCACTTGCCACTATGGCTTGGAGATATTCCACATCAGATGATGTTCAGGTCTATCTACTTCTTTTTAAAAGCTATCCCATACTGTACCATCACATGCAAGTACCATAATTTATTTAACTGCTCCCCCGTGGATGGACACTTAGGTTGCTTCTAATATTTTGCAAACAATGTTGCAACAGCACCAACAAACTTCAACATGTGTGGCTTGGCTGGATTTTTTCAAAATGTCAGTTTATAGAGGGTACAATTTAGCTACAGTATAATTCCTCCTTTTTAGGGTATAATTCTCTGAGTTTTGACAAATGCCCTGATGGCCTGGGGGACAGTGCAGGCCCACAGACATTTCAGAAGACAGAGAATGTGATTTCATAAGAAGAAACAGATTTCAAGGGAAAGCGAGTGGTTCCCAGAGGTGCACGTGGATATTGATGTGATTTGGGGAAAGTTCCATCACTGCCTCAGGCCTCCGCAGAGCATGGGGACCTTCAGAAATGTCACAGACTGTGAGATAAGAGCGAAGACTGGACTTACTCTTTATATCAATGTATGAAATGGAGAGTTCACAATGAAACAAGAGTTCAGGTAAAAAATATATAAGAAAAGGTACTGACATCAGAGACAAGAAAGGGCCAATTGAAAATAATACTCATTTCTTTCATTCTAAGAACTGACTCAAAGATGTACCCAATATTTTAATAACAGTTTTTAAGGGGATTAAAAAAAAACCAAAACATTAACTGTATCCATACATTATAAAATACATCCTATTATCCTGAAGGTTAAAATGTGAAAGAAACATGGGCCTCAGATTCAAGGAAATAGGCAGTTATGATGTGTGCCCCTCATTTAGTTGACTGTGCATGTAGCCCAAGGGCGGGGCACATAGTGCCTCTCTGGACCCCCTCCCACCTTAGCAGGACGACCAAGATGCAAGACGCACAACAAATACAGAGGCCGGAGGTAAGTGGAGAAAGGCCCCAAAGGAAGCAAACTGTCTGTTAGTTTTGTGTCACTTCACTCAGAGGCACATGGCCTTCGCAGGGCTGCTTCTGAACAGGTGACAGCTGTCTCTGCTTGAGTCCCTCTCTGCTTTCTCCAGCCAAAGAGGGACAGAATGGGCTGGCACCAAGCCTCTCCCATCAACACGGGGGCCTCCTTACATGGGGGTGCTCCACCGGCAGGAGGGAGCCAGGTGGATGACCATGTCCTCAGGCGCCGATGTCCGTGCCTCAGCCCCACTGACCAGCATCAGTAAGTGACAGCAGGGGCCTCCTGCACAGTACAAGCTCCAGCGCAAAGCCCCCAGGAGGACAGAGTTGGTAAACGCAGCTAGTTGAACACAGGAGCTGGGAACCAGGTTTGTGCAAAGAGATGCATTATCAACACGCAGAAGATAAGGGTTGGGGAGGGGGCAGGCAGAGCGTGATCAGAATCCCGGTCAACGCTTTACTCAGCGCCTCCAGTCTCCCTGTCCAGACAGGGACAGCCTGCCTATGGTCAGGACTCCTGGGTCCCCCGTCCAACCGGCTGGGGAGGTTTTTGACAAATCAGTTTCATGGCTAGTCCCCTCCTTAAGCCTTATGCTTATTCCCACCCCTTTCTTTGGTTTGTCTTCCTGGGCTTCCCCCTACAGCTCTCCTTGACGCTTTCAACACATCCCTTTCTGCCTCTGGTCTGATCTGAGGGCGCACAGCGGGATGAACCCTGATGTAAGCTGTCAATCTTACTCGGCTGAATTTCCTCATTTAAAAACTGACCGGGAGGCTTCCCTGGTGGCGCAGTGGTTGAGGGTCCGTCTGCCGATGCAGGGGACACAGGTTCGTGCCCTGGTCTGGGAGGATCCCACATGCCGCGGAGCGGCTGGGCCCGTGAGCCATGGCCGCTGAACCTGCGCGTCCAGAGCCTGTGCTCCGCGACAGGAGAGGCCACAGCAGTGAGAGGCCCACGTACAGCAAAAAAACAAAAACAAAAACTGACCGGATTGCATCCCTGCGAAGGCTCCTTCCAGCACTAACAGTCTATAATTTCAGCCATTCTCTCCATTTTCAACAACTCCTCATGCGCATTTTGTCTCAAAGCTGCCCCTGAAATAAAATACCTCTAGGCAGATGGTTATCTTGCTTCCACTGTTCCTCTATCTCTAGTTCCCACAAGCTGCTGCTGGAAAACTTTTCAATCTTTAAGGATAGCAGGAATCTTAAAAAAATATATATATATATATATATATATATATATATATATATATATATCGGTAACACTTCTCATTCCCTAGATTACCAAAGAAAACCAAGAGGTTGTGCTTTAGCACAGAAAATAACGCGTGTGTTCAGGCAGTTGGAAGGAAGTGATTTTCTCCTTTGCCCTGTGTGTGTTCTCTTGCTTTCTTGTGGGAACTGTGAGTGCATGGCTTGGATCAGATCTATATCCCATAACCATTTAGCTAAGTAGGGGCAGGAGTACTGGGTATTAGAAGGAGGTGCGGGTTCAGGGATTAGCATGTGGACTGGTTCATTTTTCGTTATTTCTTAGATGTTAGGTGTTTCTCACCCAACAATCACTGCCTAAAGCACACGGTAATCAGAGGACGGCACGGCACAGGAAGGCTCCTAGCCATGCACTTCCCCAGAGGTTGTAAAGGACTGCATTACACAGAGCCCATCTGGTGAAGTGAGGCTCATCTGAAATGTGCACTTCCTCTGTATAACTGGGCATTACATACACATATTGTGATTTTTGCATTAAAAAAAAAATCTCCTACTTGGGTAACAGGTACACCATCTTCTGACCATTCTCCAGATGTGGACCCGCACCAGGCAAAAAGACCATAATTCACTCTGATCGCCCCCAGGCACCCCAGGACCATATAACATCTCAGCTGTTAATATTCTTGGCTGTTAATATTTGGAGGGAGATGTCTACGTGTAGCCCTTCTCGATGAAACCGATTTCTCCAGCATGAGACAAGCAGTTAGCTGTCTTCTGCGGGACCAGAGAGCCCCCCAGAAGACCCACTCTGGTTCTGTCATGTTGTTGGCTCTCGCATGGGGCACCTCCTCACAGACACAGCTTATCCCGGTTCTATGCCGGTGTTAGATCACCCTGTTTCCAAATTCTGGCTTACAATTAAGGGTGTAAAAAGGATATGAATGGAAAAATACTTTGCTGGGAAGTCTGCCTACATCATAGTTACATAATTAGTGGTTTTTTTTTTTTTTAATGACTTTGAGTCCTAATTGGGCCAGAGAGCTACATAATCCCATTTCCTAAGTTTTCCTTCCAATTTCCAATTCTGCATATCAAGCCTGCAGCCGGCTATAGAGCAGAACACCTCTGCATCTTAGTGCCTGTGCTTCAGAGAAGAGAAAAAAGTTTTCTAGAGAACTTCCTAGAGAAGTTTTCCAGGAAAAAACTACACATCACATTTGGTGCACTGGGTGGGATCTTAAAACGATGGAGAGGAAAGTATACCAGTTTGGTGCCATTATATTTATAAAGCAGGGAAGAGAAATCAGGATTTCCACGGTGGGGAAAAAAAAGGCTCAACTCCTATGCAGAAATGCAGGCCAAAAGTTCAAACCCAGCACTGTGAGGTTTTCTGATTATAGAGTCCTCTCTTCTGGCTGGGTTTTAATAGGTACTTTCACTGCTCTCTATAGCCAAAATGAGAGCTGGGCTTCAGGAGGAAGTGGTCAGTCCAGTTTTGAACCGTATAAATGAGCCCGTGTGGCTTGCTTGGCGCCCGGCTCTGCCTCCTGACGGCAGCTGGGCCAGAACAAATGTGGGGACAAAGGGCAGGGTCCCAGCTAAGAGTCCCCCAGCTCCAAACTTCAGCTTTGGTGTCTGACGATTCTCCAACTTAAAGTAAAGGAAAGCAAATTGAATTTTCTTTTGTTCGAAACACTGAGTGTTCTGTGGGTCGTTTTTAAAAATGAGGATAAGAGATTTGGCTGGAAACGGCTGTATAGATTAATCCATTCATTCACTCAGTATTTCTTGAGCACCTACAAAATGCAAGGCAGAGGGAACAAAGCAGATGGAGAAAACCTCGCCCACACCCTGTGGCCTGGTTCAATCCCTTCATGTTCAAGGTGAGAAAATTAAAGCCATCTGTGTAGGCCAGGGTCACACAGGAAGTGGCAGTCTTACAGGTTTTGGCCAAAACCCCTCTTCCCACCCCCAGAAGACGTGAAGCGTGGTGGCACAGGGGATGTTCTAGCCTCACAGAGAGGAATTTTTTCCTCCAAAGGAAAATTTGGTCAGAATAAACTCTAATTTTTTTTTTAAAGGAAGGCACATAGCATTCCTTCAAGAGGAACCCTTGCTTTTTCAAGAAGGTAAACGTGGTCTGAAAATGGAAGCATAGTATTAGCATTTTACAATTGGATGGAAAATGTGGCATTTGTGAGAAGTCTCTCCAGACCAGTTAATCATCCCAAGAAACAGTGATCCAGATGGGTAGGCAATTGACATGCAAAACAGGAGAAGCACTGTCTCAGTTTGGAAAACAGGCTCGTGGAAAATATTGCGTGTCTACAGCCCATGTGTGGTTCCAGAATCATGATCTTTCCCCTGTTGTAACAAAATCATTATGGGTTTTCTTCCAAATGAACAGTAAAATTAAGTTAGTTCA